ATATAATCCCCAAGGGTACACCCAGCCATGCACCGTGTACCTACAATTATCACCCAGTAGCCTATTAAAATTATTAATCCATCAAATTAATTAACCCACTGATGAGGTTACAGCTTTCATAATCTAATCATTGCCTAGAAGCCCCACCTCTGAACCTGGCTGTATTAAGGATTATGCTTTCAAAACACGAGCTTTGGGGGTGACATTATCGATCCATACCATAGTACTCACTTTCCTGGGAAAAAAAATCCTTTCCTACCTAATACAACCCATTCCTGCCGCCCACCATTTATCCATTCATGAGAGTGGGCCGCCATGACATAATCACTTCCCATCAGGCCCTGCCTCTTGAAGGGTCCACCCCACTTCAACACATGACACACTGAAGGCCAATCCTTTAGCCCACGAAGGATTGGGGACAGACTCTATCTGAATGAACTACAGCACAGGATTATCAGCTGAAGAGGGATGGGGGTGGGCTGGTGTTGGGTAGGAAATTGAAGGAAAGATCTGAAAGAGCCATTTTGGACAGTGGGAAATACACTAGGGTTCAAAATGTTGTTCATTTAATTGCAGTAGATGTCTGTTGAATACCAAGGACCTTAATTTTGGAAAAGAGATACTATAATATGCTTTCTAAGGGCAACTAAGGAAAAGACACAACTTGGATAGCTCCAAGTCTGTGGTTAGACTGTGATCAATGCAGGGGAAAAAAGTGGCTTTACCTCTCCTCTGCTAGAGTTGGTGAATATCATCCAATTGTTTTGCTACAGGTTAAAAAGAGGGTTTCTCTGTTCATATGTGAACACACGGCCAGGGAAACTCCACATCATGTTCAACCACAAGAATGGGAACTTAGACTCCATGTATGTTTGATAGGTCAAAATTCAATCTATTGTCATGGATCTCTAAAAAGAACATTTTTTAGAAAAAAAAAAGAAAAAAATAGAGTAGTATTAGACTTAGTTGTGTGGGGTGGGCAGTTTGAAGAAGTATTAAAACCTGGGAAGCTATGCCGATATCCTAAGACTTAATCTATAGATTAATCATCTATATTGAATGAAAAGATGATGAAAGATATTGCATCAAGAGCCCTGAATTGTCAATAAGCATTTGTAGGGAGGGGAAGGTGAAGGGCAAGGTGAAGACATTCATTGCCAAGCCCAGCCTGCTCACCACCAGACTGCAACAGCGGGCCTCATACATGCAAATGCTTTCACACACAATCGTCCATGAACTCTGCCTGCAAGGCCCAATCTCCATTTCATAAACTGGAATTAAGAGCAATGACGAAATGACTTGCCAATGATTCCACAGTGCCTAAGAGACAGGATGGTTTGGTACCAAATTCTTCTATTATGGGTAAAATGTAAGAGAAGCCCAGTTTGGAGAAGCTGTGGTGAGTGGGGAAGGTTCAGAAGGTATTGACTAAAAGACCCAACCAGAACAACTATAGAGGAGGAAAAGTTTACCTGAGGGCTCAGGGTTTCAGAGGTCTCAGTTCACAGACAGCAGGCTCCATTCCTCGGGGCTCCAGGGGAGGCAGGACATCATGGAGGAAGAGTGTGGTGGAGGGAAGCAGCTCACATGGTGATCAGGAAGCAGAGAGAGACTCCACTCTCCAGAGACAAATAGAGACCCCAAAGCCACGCCCCCAAGGCCCCCTCCCCCAGCCACACCCACCTGCCTCCAGTCACCACCCAGTTAATCCCATCAGGGGTCCATTCACTGGTTGGTTTAAGGCTCTCACAACCCAGTCATGTCTCCTCTGGACCTTCCTGCATGTCTCACATGTGAGCTTTTGGGGGACACACCACATTTAAACCATAACACCAGTGTCTCAATGCACAAGAGGAATAGGGGTGTCAGTTTGGCAAATTGAAGGGTGGAACTGGGAGGGGAGGTGTTGCAGACTGAGAGACCAACGTCTACCTAAGCCTAGTGGCAAGTGAGGGGGGACTCCAGGATTCTGGCTGGAGTGTAGATGGAATGAAGATGAACAGTGGAGCTAGCTTCTGGGCACAGGCAGAATCACAAAGCATCTCCCAAGTCACGGGAAAGAGTCTGATTTACCTGGAGGACATCCGCAAAGATGGAAATTCTTTGAGCTAAGAAGATATGGTGAGGTTAGGAAGCCCTGGGGAGGTGAGGGAAGGGGTCAGGGTAGGAAAAGTAGCTCATGGTTGATATCAGTACCAGAATGGGAAAGAAGGAACCTATGGACAATGCTTAATGGAAATCAGAGAATTCAGCTGAGACTTGAAAAAAAATACTAGCAAATAATAAATTATTCACGGATAACCTCTCCATTATATATATTCCTTCCCCTATTAACTCAGATTCTATGGCAAAAAAAAGAGACAGTTTTATGATCCATATGTATGTCCTTGATTTTGCTAATTAAAAATTCCAAGTGTTTATTGAGCACCTACTCCATGTCTGGCGCTGTGCTAGACACTGAGAAAATTCAGATTGACCAGAGACCACGTCTGTTTCCAGAGAGCTCTCATCTTGGCCATGGAGAGAGTCACAAGAGAACCGTGCACAGGTATTCAGACAGCAAACAGTGCTGTAATGAGATAATGAGATATGACAAGGTCCTATCAAAGTTCACGCCCATAGGAAAGAAGGGCGCTCTGAAGAGGTGACATTTTAGCTGACACAGAACAAGCAGTGCCAGACCCAAGAAAATCCCAGGCACAGGAAAGGCTTAAGGTATCAGTGACTTTGAGGGAAGTAGAGAATGAGGGGCAGGCACATAGAGGAAGGTCTTGGGGGTCAAGGGAAGGCATCTGGATACTATGCTGAGGGTGGCCTCCATCCTGGAATCTGTCCCTTTCATGATTAGACACCATCCAACCCATTTTGATGATTGGAACAAAGAGTTCTTGGATCTGTGACAGATCTGGGTGCTGGAGGGTGAAGATGTTTTATGATGAGATTTCTACTTTCAAACCTGAAGCTGGTACCTTTGAGTATAATGCACTTGATGGGGAGAATGGCCCAGAAGGTCCACAGGACAGCCCTTAATGACAGGAGTGATTTTTTTTTTTAATGCCCAAAGTCCAGGCTGCCAGGGTACAGACCAAGAGACGAAGTGACCTCTCAAAAGAAGACCAGCCAGACGCAGTGGTGCATGCCTATAACCCCAGCAGCTCAGGAGGCTGAGGCAGGAGGATCACAAGTTCAAGTCAGTTTCAGCAACTTAACAAGACCCTAAGCAACTCAGGGAGACCCTGTCTTGAAATAAAATACAAATAGGGCTGGGGATGGGGCTCAGTGGTTGAGTGCCCCTGGAGTTCAATCCCTGGCACCCGCCTCCAAAAATAAGACCCAAATGATGCTTATTGGATGCCCCGCCCTCTGCCAACCAGGAATGTACCCTACCTGAATGGGACTTTTGATATATACTGGCCAACTGCCTCAATCGTGATTAATGCAATCATTTAATCACACAGGAAGCGTCTGGCAACTGAAGTAATGAGGGAAAGGATTCTCCTCAGAGAGGTGCACCTTCCAAGGACCCCTGACACTGCCAGCTCTCCTCCACCCCCCTGGGAAGGGCGACAAAAACTCACAGCCAGGCAGACTGGGTGCCAGTCTGGGTTCCATTCCCTAATGGCATGTGGCCCCAGGGACAGAAGTAAACATCTCTCCACCTCAGTTCCCCGATTCTATGAAATGGAGATCATGACACTTGGCTATAGGACCCGGAGGAGAAACAAACCCAGGAAGTGATTATCACACCTTCTCTGGGATTTTTGTTCTTACTTACACATGGTGGCTTGGTGCCACTGGGTTCCACTTTTTTTTTTTTCAGCAAAATGTCCACCTTTGGAGCCACCAAATTAAGGAATGACTTCTGCGGCAGCCATCGTCTTCACCTGGAAAGGAGACAGAAGGCTATTTACTTGGCTTCATTTTCTCAGCACCAACAGGGAGCCGTTAATCAAGCCCACATTGACAAGGGAAGCTGTGGGATCCTCTCTCTGATGAGACTTACCTGATTTGTTGTGTGCCCAGGGAAAATTAAAAACACAAACGAGAGGGGGAGGGGTCGTGGAGTAAGAGGAGGCGGAGAAGGAGACTTCTTAGAGAAGTGAAATTAAGAGTTGCTCATCTCTCACTGGTGACCTCATCTTATGATGAAAAACATCATCACAGTCTCCCAAAACATCTATGCATTTATGTGCCATTAAAATGATCCTTTGGTTTCCTGGTGACATTCTTTCAACAAATCACAATCAACAACACTTGCCACTGTTGCAGGTGAGCTAATGGTTTGGAAGCTTTGAACTTCATTTACTCTGAAACTTTCAAATAGTGCTTTCCTTTGCAGGGGGTAAACTCCAGCCTGAATATCTCCCACCTTTTCTCTCTGAAGTTCTAGTTCATGGTAGCGGATTTCAGCAAACAGAAGCAATGCGAAGCTGGGGAGCATTGAAGGAAATACAGAGGGGGACCTGCTTTGTAGGTGATTCACTGCTAACATTGCACATGCGCAGTGAACATCTGGAGCTCGCACGTCAGAAAGACGTGGATTCTAGTCCCCCCTCAAACTCTCACCAGATGCTCGACCTCAGCACAAATGGTATATGCTCTCTAAGCTTAACTTATGTGTAGAATGGGAATAATAACAATAATGTTTCCTTCTAAGTTGTGATTAGATTTAAATATTAGAAGCCTCATGACCATACTTAGAACAGAACATAATTGTAAAAAAAAAAACAAAAAACAAAAAAACACACACCTTATTACCCACTGTTAATCCTAACCACATTACCTTTAGCAAATTACTTTACCCATCTGGACTTTTAATTCTTCATTTGTAAACTAGCGAATTTAGACTAAAATCCTGAACTTAATGATTCTGACACAGCATTCAATTTTTTTTTTGCCATTTTGGAGAAAAATATATCCCCACTCTATGACCCTGAAAGGAATGAAGTCATCCTCACAGTTATTCCCAACGTCTGAATAAATCTTCGCTTTTAAAATAGATCTGCAACTTTACATAAGTGCACTGACTTTAAGAACATAAAATATTATACCACACAGTCTTCTAAAGTGCTATTATTTAAAAAAAAAAAATCCTATCTCTGGAAGGTTGACTCCATCATGGGTATGTCTGGGCACACTGTACCAGATGGGTCAGCTGTACCCTGAAAACTTTCACATTCCCCAAAGCCATAGTTGCTGGTTATCTTTCGGTTTCAAATGTGCATTAATAGAAATACAGGTGAAACAGGCAGGTTTAGTATTGAAGGGGCCAACACACACACAGTGGGGCAAAGCAGCATCTATTTAAATTCCAGGTATGCGCCTGGCGTGGTGACGTATGCCTATAACCCCAGCAGCTCAGGAAGCTGAGACAGGAGAATCAATCACGAGTTCAAAGCAAGCCTCAGCAACTTAGCGAGGCCCTTAGCAACTCAGCGAAACCCTATCTGTGAATAAAATACAAAATAGGGCTGGGGATGTGGCTCAGTGGTTAAGCACTCCTGGGTTCAATCCCCAGTACCAAATAAATAAATAAATTCTAGCTATGCCACTTGCTAGCTTCCTGATGAAAGGTGAGTCATTTAACATCTATGTGCCTGTTTCCTTATCTGAAAAATCAGGATACTAAGGCTGTCTACTCATTGCGTTACTGTGAGATTTCAGATGAATGTATAGATGTGAAGTTCTTAGAACACTGCCTGCTACCCCCCACCTCGGGAATGGTGGCGCTCACCTGTAATCCCAGTGACTCAGTGGAGGCTGAGTCAGGAGGATTGCAGCTGAGGCCAGCCTCAGCAATTTAGTGAGATTGTGTCAAAAAATTAAAAATGCTAGAGGTATAGTTCAGTGGTAAAGCACCCCTGAGCTGCTCAATCCTCAATACTGAAAAAAAAAAAATAGTACACCATCTGCTACCAAAATAGGCAAATACAACACATTTTACCAAATGCTGGTTTGGATCTCCTCTGTTTTTCATTTTGTCTCTGCAACCTCTAAGGAGTTGGGATGGAGATCTGGGTCCTAATTCTCTATATGTGCAAGAGACATTTAAGATATCTGGCTCACACATAAAACGTCTGAGCATTTAAACTTCTCATAGTACCTATAAAATTATTAGAGTACTCTGGGCAGGGGTGTATTTGAGAGTTTTAAGTCTCTCAGCACTTGACAGTAGAGGATCCCATTGTGAACTCGTGACCTTGTGACTCTTTAGCCTGAGCAGAGGATCCCTGGGAGAATCAACTGTTGATCGGTGACTCTTCCCTGCTAAAGCAAGATCACAAGGAAAAAGAAAATGATTTCTCTGGCTATGGCTTTCCCGCCAAGAACGCTGACGAAAATGGGACATAATATGAATTCCTCATGTCCAAATATATTACTATTCCATTTGGTCATAAAAACAAAATAAGTCTTTCTGGCCTACCCTATTTAGAACCAAATCATTTATATCTTAGATTCAAATCCCACCTCTAAATCTCCGCACACCTACATCATGTGAGTATCCAGAGGATGCATGATTTGTTGAAGCATGTGAGGTTTCTGCCCCCAAACAGATGCACCATGAGGGTACGAGAGTCTGTGTGCCCACAAGTTGGAAATCAGTTATGCAAATGAGGTTGTGTGTCAAATAGAGTTCAGCTTTAGTATGCATTGGGAGAAAAATCAAGACGACAAATCAAGTGTTTAACTGACTTTTAAGTAGACTAATAATGGGCTTAATTGTTATGTCTCACATGAGACAGTTTTGTCAATGGCAGGGAAGTGGACCTTCTGCTCTCAGACATGCTGCAGCTCATTTTCACAGACTACGGAGCCCCGATACCTTCCATCTTGAGGGGGGTCAGGCTTCTCTCTGGAAGTGGACACGTTCTTGTGTCAGAACTAAATAGGTAGACACATCCCAGCTAAAGCAGCAAAGAGAGCAAAGCCAAGAGCAGGGAAAATGGTTTTATCCAACATTGGTTTTATTTAATTTCAGAGTGCTCTGAAAGCTGGGTGCAGTGTTACACTCCTGGGATCCCTGCAGCTGGGAGGCTGAGGCAGGAGCATCTCCAGATCAAAGCTAGCCTCAGCCCTAAGCAACTCAGTGAGACCCGTCTCCAAATAAAAAGGGCAAGGGATGTGGCTCAATGGTTAAGTGCCCCTGGGTTCAATCCTTGGTACCCCCCCCCAAAAAAATGAGTGCTCTTAAGCCTTGAGAACATGAGCATATGTATGGTTTGGCTTCGGTCTGTCTGTGACCCAGGGTCGACCTTTGGGGCAGTAAATGTCTCGTCAGAGACTGCCTAATTATCCAGAATCCACTTCCATGTTTCCCAGAGTGAATTTACCTTGATCATGGTTATAGACTGTCCATTTCCAAATAAAATTTGGTAATATTTTAGATAAGGAAATCACGGTAGAGTCATGAGTCCCTTCATGATAGCAACAAGTTCTGAGAATGTATCCTTCTGTGACATTGTCATGAGCATCACTGAATGTGTTTACACAAACCTAGATAGTAGCCCACTCTACCCCCAGGCGCAGGGGCTGTGCCTTCACATATGTTGTCCATTATTGACTGACTGTGTGCATTAGATGCCATTAAGCTCACGCCCATCCAATTAAAGTGGACATCATATTGGATGGTGGCTGGAATTTGGCACAGGGAACATCTTCTTCAATAACTCCATTTTAAAACTGAATCCATCCTACTGACCTAGGCCACACTGTGATCATTACACATCTGTCTTTCAAATCTCCTGCCACATCTTTCCCCCATTTTCTTTTCTGAGATGATTTCCTTTACTCCTCCCACCCTGCCTAGTCCCCAGCAGGTAGAGATGGGGAGGGGTTCTTGGCAGGTATCTGTTTCTTAATTCAGTTCATCAGGGCTGCTGGTACCTCCCTGTTATGGTTGGGCTGTGAGGTGTCCCCAAAAGCTCACGTGTGAGACGGTGCAGGAAGGTCCAGAGGAGACATGACTGGGCGGTGAGAGCCTTAACCCAACCAGTGAATGGAGCCCTGATGGGATTAACTGGGTGGTGGCTGGAGGAGGTGGGTGTGGCTGGAGGAGGGGGCATTGGGGGCGTGGCTTTGGGGTCTCTATTTGTCTCTGGAGAGTGGAGTCTCTCTGCTTCCTGATCACCACGTGAGCTGCTTCCCTCCACCACACTCTTCCTCCATGATGTCCTGCCTCCCCTCGAGCCCCGAGGAGTGGAGCCTGCTGTCTATGGACTGGGACCTCTGAAACCGTGAAGCCAAATAAGCTTCCTCCTTTACTATTGTTCTGATTAGGTCATTTAGTCACAGAGGCAAAATAGCTAAAACACACCCTTCTGATACTTGGCTTAAATTGGGCAAGGTGTGTCTCTCTTGTACCCCAATAGCCCTAACTAATATAAGGAAGTAACCAAACTGTCAGAGTGCTTCTATGTACACATATATACATGTCATGTGTAGGCATATAGTACATAGTATGTATGTAGTTTATTTATGGAGAATTTAGAAACGGTAGGTACCATTTGAAGTTTTCACCTGCAGTAATCTTTCATGCTTACAAGTGTGTGGAAATGCCCTTCTCTGTCACAATTCTCCATTTCTATTCTTTGTCCCTGATCCATCATTTCTGCTTTCCAATGCATTTCTCCCCTTTCAGCATACATTAGAACTTCCTGATTGAATTTATTGTTTATCTTCCCCCCATCCTGGAATGTAAACTCACTGACATATCTCAAATGCCTAAGATAGTCTGTGACACATGGCAGGAGTTCCATAAATATGTGCTTAATTAATGAGCTGACTCACTAATGAGTATCACTCTTATTTGGTTGATGACGAATTTTCCTTTACATCCACAGAGTCCTCTGAGCCACCCACAGGACCTGCCTAGGTAAAACATCTG